ATTTTTTAGACAGTAATATATTATACATAATAAATTCTTTAATAATGAAATGAAGCAAATTTGGATAATTACAGAATAAAAGATATTATTTTAATAAATGTTTTCATTTTTAGAAAACCTTAAACACAAATCATAAAAGGAAAAAGATTCCAATATTCAGAATTATTTAAGAGTGATATTTATTTTCTAAAAATGTAGATTTAAGATCAACACTAAAATATATTTAACAATAGTTTTACTTTTTATAATAAAACTTAAACAAAAATAAAAACTAAAAACAAATTTTCAGTATTTATAATTATTTAATAGTATTATTTATTTTCTTAAAATACGTGGGTTTAAGATAATAATAAAATAAAAATGGGCAATTCTCCATAATAGCCTCTTTTGAATTTTTGTCTCAAAATTAGCACTAGAAGCTGAAAGTCACAAAAATAACCTTCATTAATGGACAAAAAATCACAACTTCTCTTCTCTTCGTCGATATCAAACGACGGCTCTGATTCTCTTCCATCGGCTCCAATCTCGTTCCATCATCTCCGGCGAAGAAGACTGATATCATCTCTGACGAAACGCACGAAGATTCGAACCTCCAACGATGCTATTTCGATATGATTCCTCTTTTTAGGGTTTTCTAACTGAAGTTTGGGGATTTTGATTTATTGTTCTTCATATAATAGATTTGAGTTTCTTTTGTTGTTCTTAGTTCAAAATTACAAAGAAGAATCTCTGAAAAGCTTCATTCCCAAAGAGTTCGTGACCTTTCATTTTGGTAAGCATTTTGAATCTTTTATGTTCTTAGCTCTTTTTGTTGCTAATTTGTCCAATATGGTATTGGTTCAAACCTGTGTGGTGTGTGATGGTGTTTTAGTACTATTTTTCTTCTAAACGTTATGATTTTTCCTAGTTAAGAACGCACAAAAGCTATAGCTTTTGCTTGTTTTTGTTAATCACTAGTGTATTGTGTTGACTCGTTAGACTCCTAAAGACAAAACTCTCTTGCATTTGTTTTCCAGTGTTTGAAAGGTCTTTAGAATTTGGATGATATTATACTGTCTGAAAACTATGTGTGAGAGATGAGTCAGAAGAGTTTGTTTTGTGTTCTTATAGATTATCCTTGTAACATTAGCATCATATAAACTATAAGTTTTTTTAAGTACACACAGACTAAGTTTCTGCGATGATTCCATTTACTTTCTTTCTTTTATTAGTTGCGCAAAATTAACCTTTTCTATTGCTGCTATGCAAAGTGGGACTGTGATGAGTTTGCTTGTGAAAACTTGTGTGTTCTTTTTTCTTTTAGTTTCTGGAAGGATTTTCATAGTTTCAGGATAGCCTTCCAAAAAAATTAAATACTAGAAAATTTGCACTTTTTTTGGCTTGGTGACGCAGGACAGGAACATCATGGGAGATTCAATACCTGGATTACTAACTCTGCCTGAACTCAAGCATCATATTGGATCAGAGTCAAAGCCAAAAGTGACAATAAACCAATACTCGACCGCTGCCTATATCATGACTAATCCGCCTATCATCAAACCATAAGAGTTTGACACAACAAAGTATGCTTGTTTTGAGTTTTCAATTTATTTAGGAAGCAACTGTAAATATTCAGGAACGTCTTCCTGATTGTTGCAGCAAGCATGTCATGATTTGTTCTAATTGTTGAAATTCATTCATAACTCTTACAGGAAACTACACAGGTTGTGTATAACACACCTGTCTCTCCAAACTCCTCATTTAAGTTTGATAAAAATAAGAATGCTGCTGTGGTAAGAAAATTATATTGATAATTTCTGTAGAATATTTTTCTATTTAACCAACTCTTGCAATTTTCTTTTGTCTTATATGCTGAGACCTAGACTCAGACTCAAATTGTTTTCTTTAATGCGACACAACAGGTATATGCTTTTTTTTCTCTTACACTTGGAGTTTTTCAAATAGTGTAGAAATTTTTTGTACATACTCATGACTTCCATCCTTATTTTCGCAGAATGAGACAGAGCCATCATCGAAAGAGGCCATACAAGCCGAATTAAGAAGAAGAAAATCCAGACAATGTGGTAATATTTAATCTGAAAGGTGTAGTTAAATGTATTTTGGAAGAAAAACTCTTGGAATTTTATGTCATTGTAAACATGTTTTTACAGGACACTACAGAGCCTATGACTCAGATCATTTCCACATACATTTCGGAGACAATGCCCCTTAGTCAACAAACACAGCCTCTAACTAAGACACGCCCTATACATTTTTCAGAAACAAAGAAGGTATGTCTCGAGTTTAGCTAATCTTTAATTATAATTCGATCAATATCAAATAGCTGATGTTACTGAATCTACATTTTCATAGGCAGAAGAAAGTAGGTTTCCAACTCTTTTTGGTACTGTTTGTAGCTGAAGAGAAATACTGTTACCTGAGAAATTGTTCTAGTAAAGACAAAGCTCTATTGCGTTTGTTGGAGCTCAACTTAAAGGCTGTTAAATTTCGGGAACACAAAATTTTGAGGTAATGTACCTTTGATTGTGTTCTTTTCTAGATAATGTTGATTCTGTTGATTATGTGGTGGTATTTTATCTGATATCCCAATGTTCATGAGTGTGACTGAGATGATTTTGCTTGTGAAACTTTGTGGGTTTTTTTTTTTTTTTAAGTTTTAGGAAGGTGTTTCAAAATTTCAGGATAGCATTCCAGAAAATCTGATACTAGAAAATTTGAATTTTTTTTGTCTTGGTTACACAGGACAACAACACGATGGAAGATCCAGTACCTGATTACTATCACTGCATGATCTCAAGTATCCTATAAGATCAGAGCGAAAGCCAAGAGTGAAAATAAACCAATGTTCGAGTGCTGCTTATATCACAACTGTCTCGGGTATTTTCAAGCCAGAATAGTTAGACAGAAACCAAAGGATGTTTTTTTCATTTAGATTGTTATTGGAACTTTCAGGATGTTTTGAAGCATTATGTAATTATATCAAGAAAATGCGAAAATGTGTTATAGTTTATGGTACTTTTAGGATATGTTTCCAGAAAATAAAATGAGTGAGCATACGCCTTCACTTACTAAGTGAAACAGTGTAGGTTTTTTAAATTTCAGGAAGGATTTGTGTAGTTTCAGAAAATATTTGTGTAGTTTCAGGAAAACTTTCCAGAAAAGTTGATGTTAACAAATTTGAAAAACTTTTTGCTTGGTGTCTTTTTGTTTGGCTTACGCATGTTGATATCTTTGGTAGGCTTGTGAATTTGTTTATGACATTGTTAGTCTTTTTCTTGTGCTTGTGAAACTTTGTAGTGGTTTTTAAATTTCAAGAAATATTTGTATAATTTCAGGAAAGCTTCCCAGAAAATTTGATGGTAACAAATTTGAATTTTTTTTGCTTTGGTTTCTTATTGTTTGGTTTACCATTTACGCATGTTAATATCTCTGATAGGCTCGTGAATTTTCTTATGACATTGTTAGTCTCTTGCTTGTGCTTGTGAAACTGTGTAGTGTTTTTTAAATTTCAAGAAAGATTTGTATAATTTCAGGAAAGCTTTCCCGAACTTATTCAGAATAAGCTTCTAAAAACTAATATTTATGTGATCTGGTGGATATCACGTAACCATAAAATAAACAAGATCAATAAAATGAACAATAAAAATGTAAATCATCAACAAACCATTGAAATGAAAAAGAATAGTAAACATATGAATAAGAAACTCCAACATATAACATGAGAACCAAATGTATTAGTAGTTTGCTTGTTACTACTAGTTTAATCAGTAATAACCTGCCCAATTCAATTTTTTGGAAGGTTTAGTACATGATCAGGAAGCTTATCCTGAATGGTCTAAGAAAGAAGAAAATCATACAAAACAAACAAACAAAAAATTTAGAAATGATGTGTCTGTTTTTCTCTCTGCACAGTAGAATAAAAAACTGGAATATAATTCAAAGGAGCAGAAGAAACAAATGTATCAGTAGGCTGCTTGATACAACTAGTTGAATCAGTAATAACCTGCAAAATTAAGTTGTTTTGGAAGGTTTAGTATGTAAATAGGAAAGCTTTCCTAAATAATGTAGCTGAAAAAAAACAAGAAACCTTAACACATAACAGACATATTCCATCAAATGTCATTAGCAATCCAATAATTGTTCTCATTTGGACACCAAATATTGTACCTGTCAGGAGTAAAAAACACATTCATCATCTCAACCACAAAATAAAACTAGGCTCCAACCTCCATGGCATCAAGCTGGGAATGTTACAAGTGGAACCCATCAACAAAAGAAGAATCTTTCTGAGGCCATCAACAACGTTTTTATCATTTAGATTGTTATTGAAAAATTTCAGGATGTCTGGAATAACATGTGGCACTTTCACGATGAGTTACCAGAAATAAAAATAAGTATTCTAAATGTTGGAAATAACTTTAGAATTTCTGGATGGGTTTCCAGAATAGTTGAATATTAGTGTGTTTCTTTCTTAAACTAAAAAAATATGAAATGAGATCAAAAACTAAGGAATGATATCTGCATACTTTGGAAATTTTCAGTTGTGATTTGGAAGTTTGAAGAAAAAAAAAAGAACAACTATACACAACTAACATGATTCGAACTTGAGATGTCTGGGAAAGAGCGAACAAGGTGTGGTCACTAGGCCAAATGGATTTATATTGTTTAGTGATGTAAGTGAAGTAATATAATCCATTTATTTTTTTCAATTAAAAAATAAAGTACGAGTCTGAATACCTTTGGAATCAAGCGGACCGAGGCAAGTAATTGAATTTCATAAGATAGGTGGTTTAGTCGCTAGGATAAGGAGAATCATTTGGTAGAAGGTAAGGCATAAATATAATTAATCATAAATTATTATTAAAAATGTGGGAATGAACTTTGAATTTTCTGGATGGGTATCCAGAATAGGATATCATTTGTCACATTCAGGATGGCTTTCCAGAAACGAATATGAAAACCAGATTAGCCGGATACAAAACCAGTAATCCTCTAAATTGTTAACTTGTTTTTGTTTTGACTGAAACACAATACGAGAGAGAAACACTATAAAAAAAGTATTGATTCCACCGGTAAATGCATTCCCTCCAAGAGACAAAGAGACATAACTTCATGCAGTTCTTGAGCTTTGTGATCTTTCCTGGGAGACTAATGTAAGAGATGTTAACAATGCTGAGAACAGGTGAGACACAGAAATTTTGTGGCAATCCTCCTTCAAAACCATTCTCCGAAGCAGAGAACTTGTATAAATTCTTGATAACTCCAAGATCATGTGGGATCGCACCAGAAAAAGAATTGTTATCAATCTCAACTTGCTCTAATGAAGAAGCCAAAGAGATATACTCAGTAACTTGACTTGTAAATCTATTATTACCAGCTCTAATAATCTTACTCTTTGGTGATGACCATAACCCCAAGGGCAACTCACCAGATAAACCATTGTCATGTACTTGAAACTTCTCAACGTTAAAACATTCACCAATAGAGTTAGGCAATGATCCTTCAAACAAATTTGAACGGAGAGAGAGGCTAATAAGCCTCTTTCCACTGCAAACACCACTGGGGAAAGAGCCAGTGATCTTGTTCTAAGAGACATCAAGAGACACTAAGCTCTTGAGAGAAGACCTTAGGGAACGAGTGATCTCACCGGCCAGGTTGTTCAAACATAGGTCCAACACTTTCAAACTCGTCAAATCCAAATAAGAAGTGGGAATCTCTCCATGAAAGCCTGACCTATGCAGGAGAAGCTCCTCAATCTTGTCTAGCTTCCCAATAGAAGAAGGAATCACACTAACTAAGTAACTATTTTCAGACAAATCAAGAACAACAAGCTAGCTCACTTAGCTTCCCTACAAGAACAGTTAACAGATTACTCCCCAAGTTTAAAACTTCAAGATTGATTAGTAATCCTAAACCTTCTGGAATCTTACCCTTCACATGGTTACTACTCAAGTCAAGAACTTTCAATGCAGTGAACTCATATATCTGATCAGAGATCGGATCCTATATGAGATTATTGAATCGGCTGGTTGGTAAGACACGTGGAGAGGTGAAGAGGAATTGGCTGGTTGAAGAGATTCTGAGACGACGGACGGCAAAAATTCGAGAAGAAGACGGCGGAGGCGAGAGGAGATGACGACAGCGAGGATCGTCTCCGAAAATTAGAAATATTTTTAATCTATGTCTTTTAATTACTCAAAAGAGGGAGTATAAGGGTAAATGATCCCCTTTAATGAAACCTATTTGTGTGACTTTGGGCCTTGAGTGCTAGTTTGAGAACAAAAACTTGGTTTGGTATATTGGACTTTAATTCAATAAAAATACAACATTTTAAGATAAATTTGTTTTTCAAAACCAAAACTTATTATAAATATTTTTCATATGTATATATAATATTTTCTTTCCTTTTTTATAATTATAAACTCAAGAACTTTTATAGAAAAAATACCTTATAAGTAATTATTTAAAATATTATTTGCAATGTCAAATAAAAGACGTTAATATTAAAAAAAAATCATAAGATTAAAAAATCTTATAAGACAGAAATAGTTACCAAGTTTTTTCTTATAAATAAATAATTGTATTTTTCCTTATAAATATAATATATGGTATTAATTTGGGCAATTCTCTCAATTAACCTTCTTTTAAGTTTTTATCACAAAAATAGATCTCAAAAATTAAAATAACTAAATAGCATTTTTATCTTGAAAATTTGAAGTTTTTAAAAAAAAAAAAAAAAATTTGAAACCATATTCCCAAAACCTCACTCCTTAACTCTAAACAAAAAAAACTATTTTAATGGGATATTCTAGAAGAGTTAAAACAGAACAATTCATGTGATATATATACGACTAAACTCTAAACATCTGACAAATGAGAAGAAACAAAACAAAACAAAACAAAACAAAACAAAACAAAAAAGTTTGGACAGGAACGAGATAACTGAAGAATAATAAACCCGAGATGAAAGTTGAATCGAATTTCAAGGAATAGCTAAATGAGAACCAAATTAACACGATTTGAAATTAATCGATCGAAAACCAACAAATGATTCTTATATTTACCCCCACGGCTTAAATAGGTTATCATGAGGGTACCTATGAGATTTAAGACTCTAATTCTTTTTTGAGAATATAGTTTTTTAATGCCAAATAGGTTTGGACATTGTCCCTTTAGGTTAAATTCATTAACTTATTGTCCCATTAGGCTAAATATTTGCTAAATGACAATAATGCCCTTAAATTCACTTAAAAATCGTAAAAAATTTAAAAAAAAAATCTTCGAATCGGGAAAAAAAAAAGACGAAAGAAACTGCACTATATGACGGGATCGATCGATCTGAGAATCAGAAGATCGATCCACACGCTCGATCTCGTGACTGAGCAGTTTATTGAAAAACACGGAACATAAACCGATCGACTTTCTCAGAGCCTAATCGATCGTACAGATCGATCGGTCTAGATCGACCGATCCCCTAGATGAGATCGATTGATCTCGTGCTCTCTCATACAGAGCCGCCACAACCAAATGCAACTCCTTACTATTGACATTAGGATCACATTCCAATCTCTCAAACAAAGATTCAACCATCTCAAAATTTTTCTTAGACGAGTATAAACTCAGCATCTGGAAATGAACCTCATCAGGAAAAACACATCCTTCCTCTTGCATCTCTCTGTAAACCGTATCCGCCTTTCGAACTCTCTTTGTTTCCCGTAATAGTTCAACACTATAGCTATGATGTTTGAATCCGGGAAATAACCAGCGCTTCTCATTTTCTCAAACACTTCAGTGACATTCACGTACCTTTGGTTTCTCAAATAAAGATTGATCATACATCCAAACACAAATATGTCTTTTACCTCCCCTGAATCAAAAGCTTGTCGGAAAACCCATGTGGCCTCTTCTATTCTCCCTGCTTTAGCAAGAATAGTGATCGCGGTTTCTCTAGGTATGTTATTAGGACGCTTTAACTCCTGTAGCAGACGTTTAGCATGACCCATTAGACCAACTCTTTCATAAGCCACAATCATCGTCTGATACAGAACTTGGTCAATTTCAACACCTGAGCTCCTCAGTTTCTGAAACAGTGTTGCAGCTTGGTCTAATTTACCAGATTTGCCCCATATTGAGATAATAGTTGAGTATGTAATCGCGTTAAGTTCGATTCCTCTGCTCTGCATCTCCTGAACAAGATTTGTTGCCTTTTCGTGTTCCATAGTTGTCCCATAGATCTTAATCATCGTGTTGTAAGTAACAACGTTCTGCTCAATGTCTTTCCTCTGCATCAACCTGAAAAGATGGATAGCTTCACCGAAAAGCTCAGCTTCACCATAAACACGGAGAATCGTGTTGTAGCTGACAACATTTGGTTCAATATCCATTTTCCTCATACTCCAAAACAACCTATCAGCTTCTTTCACCATGTCAAGCTGACCATAAACATCAATCATTACATTAAAAGTCGTGAAATCCAAGGGACAATTCACCTCTTTCATCTCTGCAAAAACGGACAAAGCTTCAAGAAACTTCTGATTCTCTACATAAACACTCAAAAGAGTAGAGTAACTAACTATGTTCGGTTCCACACCAGCTTCTTTTTTAAAAAAAAAAAATTGAATTTTAAATATGGTAGTAGAATATTTCCTAATATATTCTTGCTATATTTTCGGATCTAATAATATTTATCCGTAGAATTCAGATTCTACTAATGGTAGAACTGTGTAAAGAGATATGAAATCAGTTTCTACGTGTATTAGAACGTTGTGTGAATGTAGATTCTGACTTCTACTTGTTTTAGATTTAAGTAAGAATTTATATTTCAATTACTACTCTTATTAGAACTCTATGATAAGCGTGGAATGTGTATTCCAAACTATTTTAGATTCGTGTTATCTCCGTAGAAAACATATTCCGCAGTTCGTAGAAATGTTGAAAAAAGTGGATTTCGTATTCTAATCCGTAGTATACGGATTCTAATTTTGGTAGAATAGATATATGAAATTATTATTTACACATTTTTAAAACAGGAAAAAAATATCACTATATAGATATAGAGATTTCATCATTATGTACTATTTTTTAAAAAAAAATTTGCTTCATAAATCTATTTTTTTCAATAATTTCGGAAATACATAAAGGGCATTAGAGTCAAAATTGGTACAAAATATAATTTAGACTTAGAGACAATGTCTAAACCTATTTGGTCTAAAAAACAGTTTCCCCTTTTGTAATGGATATGTACTTTTCAAGCTTGTCTGTAAATTAATTAATACAATCATGAAAATCAAAGTAGGAGAAACATAGGTGAAATAAAGAGAATTGTGATCACAGGAGATGATAAGTTCACTCATCCATGTACTTGTCAAATCAGACAAAACTACATTTTGCCTAAACCAAATTATGTTGATGTGTTATACAAGTTGTTACATTTGTAACATAACATTAGGTAGGTGTTTTTGTTGTATTCTCAAGTTCGTCCAAAACAAGCCATTTGTTTGCATGGACTGTGGTCGGTTAGCTCGTAATTAAGTATCTTCGATTTATGTTTTTATGTTCTTTTTTATCAAAAGGCAAAAGTAAAAGCATAACATCACATTTTAGCAACAAAAAAAGAAGCATAACGTAACCTAAAATTTCACTTGCCTTCTTATTTAGAGAAAAAAAAGACTGAGCTACAAAAGCAAAATCATAGGAATATTATTATACAATAGTAAAAGATAAACATGACTGAAGCAAAAAAAAAACCAAACATATATAACTGACGCAAATAAATTTCACCCAAACATGAAAAAGGAAAAGTCTTGTACGTATGCTACATTTTTATCACCCCAAGGTAATATTTGTCCTTTGGAAATGCCATGCAATGATTGCTTAGGAGGAACCGCGTTTTATCACTCCATGCTGTTCATGATTTGCAGTGATCGCTTCATAGGAATGATGCTCCACTGTCCGAACCACTTCATAAATTACCGAGGAGCGAATGTGAACCTGCTGACCATCTGTTGTGATAGTTCCCGAGGAACGACGCTCCGCTTTCGAAACTTCCTTATGACCTGAGGAACGAAGGTGGACCTCCTCATGATTTGTGATCGTCTGTGAGGATTGACGATCTATCATCTGGACTCCCTTACCATTTGCACTAATCCTTCTTAAGGAAGAATGCTCTGTCTTCGGTACGTTTTCATGATTTGGAGAGATCCTTCTGATGGAACCAACCGTCGAAACCTCTCCCGGAGTTGGAGAAACCCTTCTGATGGAAGTAGCTGTCGGGCCTTCTTTACAAGTTGGAGAGATCCTTCTGATAGAACCAACGGTCGGAGCCTCTCCAGGAGTTGGAGAAATCCTTCTGATGGAAGTAGCTGTCGGAGCTTCTTTACAAGTTGGAGAGATTCTTCTGATAGAACCAACCGTTGGAGCCTCTCCAGGAGTTGGAGAAATCCTTCTGATAGAAGTAGCTGGTGAGGCTTCTTTACAAGTTGGAGAGATCCTTCTGATGGAACGACCTATAGGGATCTGTTCATGATTTGGAGAGTTGTTTCTGATTGAACGACCAGTCCGGACTTCTTCATGATTTGGATCAAAGATCCTTAAGGAAGTATTCTCCGCTACACCTAAATTTTTTAAAAATATATTGTTTAATATAAACGAATTGATACACCAAAATAACAAGCAAAATGCTTCACCAAAATTAAATCAGATATACAACAAAAGCTAAACTGATTTTGTAGGCGTTTCTCATCCCTTCTTACCCCCATTCTTGACTGGCCTGATGGACATTTTATGCTCTGCAATTGTTTAAAGTGACTCTTCTCCCAACTTACTTTGCTCGATGCTTACATAATGCTTTGAGGAAGAATTCGTATTATATAGACTCGTGTCCTTCTTTACATAATATCTACATTAACCAAAACAAAGAAGAAGGAAAAACTACATAATATAATACGACCTATATTCCCGTTGGTCTCGTCAACAAAAATATATGTCGAAGTTTTGGTGAGACGTACTTTTCAGTCGTATTTTATAAATAAATGACACTAAAATCCAATAAAGATACACATATATAATTTAAAGGATATATGAAGTGCTGAGTGAAGATCTGACTCATTCTCTCATTATAATTTTGTGTTTTAATCCAATACATTAGGGTTGATTGGTTGTTTTAATCCAAAATTTAGTTTAGAACCATATATGTTAACCAAAAAAGCTTTATTTTCTTTAAAAGTTATAGCAAAAAAAGTTCTAAAAAATTGAAATATGGCTATAGATAAGATTGGATATTTTACCCAAACTTGTATTTGAATCCAATCCAAAAAATATGATCCGAAATCCAAATTAAAATAGCAAAATATTCGAATGAAATTCAGTTAGCAAAGATTTGATAGCTGGATCGGATGGATATCTGGAGATAACCAAATTTATATATACTTAATCATATATTCATAGTTTACTTCTTTCACTTTATCCAAAATATCTATATTTATGATGCACATGGATCAACATCAGATAATATATATATATATATATATAGAAAAAGGATTTATTATTCACTTAAAATGAATATCAACTTTCTTGTTTTATGCATTAACAAAAGTTATATCCAAAATCTCAAAACAACAACTAGGCTAGTATCTTTCTATTTTCAAAATTATCTTCAAACGTATCAGTCAACATATTAAAAATTAGATATTAGTTTAAGTTAGTGTTAAAGTTTTAAGTTAAAAAACTTAAGGAATAAAAAAAAAATTTCCAGGATATAAATTCCAAACTTGACCCTCTTATCTGAACTAAAATTATCCAAATCCGATTAGATATGTGAAAGTATACATATGGGATATAAACCATAATACCAAAATATCTGAAAACTCTAAATACTCATATCCGAACTCAAACACATTATTCTAACGGTAGACATGGCCGGCTTAGCATAGAGGGCGGTCAATGCGACCGTTCCGAGGCCCACTCCATTTTTTTATTAATATATACTTCATGAAATTTAAATTTATATAGTATTATAAAATGTAAGTACAAATTTTAATTTAAAACTCAAATAAAACATGCATATTACCTATTTCATATAAAAAATAATACTAAACTAATATAAAAATTAACTTTATTAATATCTTAAAAGATATTAAAAATTAATAATCATTGGATTTATTTTATTTTTTGGTAATTTAAGATCTTTTTAATAATAAGGGGCCTAAAATATTTTTTTTTGCCTCGAGGCCCTTAGTTGTGTTGAGCCAATCTGACTATAGAGACCTTTATTTCTAAAGAAAGATTTAGTGCTTTACAAAAATACAACAAATAAAGCTAAAGCAAATAAATTTTATATTGAATTTTTATAACAAAAAATATAAAGATACATTTTATGAATTTATTTTAATCACCTCCTAAAAATCGCGTTAAAATCAGGTTGCAACATTTTGTCGCATTAGCTTCTTTTTCCTTGCAACTATAATTAAGAAGTATAGCCGTCTTCCTAGACCTGATCGGTAAATCAATTTATCATTTTCAACCTAAACAATAAATCACATATATTTTAAAAAAAAAATATTTTTAATTATGATTTAAATTTTAGTGCTAAGGTATCAACACTAAAATTTTTCTCACAACCCTTATTTAAGGACCTGACTGGATTCCCCGCTATCACCTGTAAACGCAATTTTTGCGGTTGATAGCGGTTGTTAGCGTTTTGAAACAATTACTCAAAACGTTTTGAACTGTTTTAAACCACTCTAAACCTTATAAATTTAAAAGCTGATTCCAATTAGCGTTTACGATTGCGGGAGAGTAATTTTTTTTTCTTTAAAAAAAAAGATAAATACAAAAATAAAAATATTCAATAAATTTTTTAAATTATAATTATAACAATACTAAAATATATTTATTATATGTTAATTAATATTATTTAAAAAATAAAAATATTTTCAATAATTTTAAATATTTAAAACTATATATTTATATGTATAATTTCTATATCTATTATAATATTATGATTTTTAATATTTTTTTATAATTATAAAAAATGTAAATATTGTTAATTTATATTTTAACCGCTACTACATTTGATAGTTAACCAGTCATAATATCCTGCAAACGCACCAGTAGTACCTGTCGTACAAATCTCTTAAAACCACAAAAAAGTCGTAACCACCCGCAATCGCAATTACAACCGCTGCGTTTGAACCAATCATACCCTAAATGAACCTATATTACTAGAGAAATCATATAAATTCTTAGTGAAACATAACGTTATATTTATAAGACAACATCTTTTTAAGCCAACATTTATGTTAATTATTATAAGCCAAAGTTATATATAATGGGCTTTATAAATATTAATTGGTTTAACTCACTCATGGTTATACCACAACATAATTTATTTATTGATATTTTGTATATTCCAGTTCAACCGACGTTAGTTTAAATCAAATATAGTATCATATTTTTACTAATTTAAATGATGAAACAAAATTAAAGAAATGGTGGTTTACATTGGCAATGTTTTTTTTTCAAATATACCAAGCATGACTAAATATTGATACCAACCATGAACAAAATCATAAAATAAATCGTGGTATCCTCTAAACTATATAATATATATTAAGTGATTATCCGCGTAATTGTAGCTTTATGTACGTGGCAATTATTCAAATAACCTATATCTATTAGCAGATAGATCAGCAACTGAAATATAGTAAACTTAAGTTGTCCGCTTTTCAAGTGAAATAATTTTTTTTAACTTTGAGGTATCCTAAATCCATGAAGAAGCCCGGACTAATTCCTAAAGGAGTGGTACAATCCATGGATGGACCCTCATTCCGGATATTCAAATGGGTCGAAAAATAGACTTATATCCGCGTGGCCACAAAGTAAAATATAGTAAGGTACCTTCTAACTCATATTGTTTAGCAAATCTCAAAATTCGTCTATCACTAAACCACCACCTTGTGTCTTTTCAACCTAAACTTAATAAATTTAATGAGTAAATGTAAAGATTATTGTCTCAGTCGTTAGGTTTGAATTCAGATATCCTCTTTTCAAGTTCTTTTGTACAATAGTCATGTTTACAGTGTAGGTGTTTATAGTAAATTTATTACAAGACGCTATAATATGATATTCTATTTACCAGTAGATAACATGGTTGTTCAAATACCTTAAACATTGACCAATATGGAAATTTTTACGAATTGCTTCTTGCCCACAATTTTCTTGCAATACAACCAATAAAATATATCAGGAGGATCTTATTCTATTTTTCATTCTGGACTACCATTTACCTCTAAATATTTTAACAGGTTTGTAACATGATTAGCAAACTTAAATTATTTGGATGTTTCTTAATTCTAAAATTTATTCCTTAAATAAAATTTCAGATATTGCTCTATATATTACAGTATAATAATGATTGGATATTATTAAGTCATTATTGCTCTATAAGTATCCAATATACAGAATTTTGGTACTATTATTACTCTAGGCCTACCTATACAATATGTTCACACCCTAGGTATTTCATCATCCCTCCACACAATCAACCATAAAATTCTGGTTGTCACCTAGACTTTTTGCAATGGCTTTCGCGACCCAGTTTCTAAACTGAAACCATTTAAGTCTATGTGAAAAATTAAAGTGAAAATATAAGGGTCTGGAGACTGTTTTCGGTGCAAAGGCGCAAGAAGGTTTAACAATTGAAATGATCCTTCTCGACACTAACGTAAGTTTATTGTTTTCAAGGTTTAGTATAAGGAATGTACCTATATGAATCTTTGTCAACTACCAAGTCTATCGTTATTTTTCGAAATACCTAAGTTGTTCTATTTATTTGCAAAATACTTAGAATTGTTCATGTGTTATATTAACTAATATTTTTTCTGTTTTATAGGGTGATAAGATCTGCAACGGTGAAAAATGATTTGGTGCTTCATTTGATACATTCCTAGGAGAAAGTATGTTGAAAATTTTCATAAACTTTTCACCCAATCATTTTTGTGGATCATTCTTACAAGATTAGTTTCATTTTCTAATTTCAACCATATGCATGAAAGTATGCGGGCATTTGCCAAGAGTTATGGCTGGTTGGTTTCAAAACCCGCCAATTTCCATGACATTTAGATGGTACTCTTAACCCAGTTTCCATACGATCTACTAGTTTTTTTCTACCAAAGTTAATTAACCAAATTAGTACTTATCTATATATTGAATATCTTTTCAAATAAATTTGGATATTTGAGTCGTGCATCTTACTAATGAAACTAAAAGGTTGTTAACTAAACTTCTAAACATTGGTAGATGGTAAAATGTTCATGCCATGAGCATTGGTAGATAAGTTTATTTGTATATAAATCAAATATTTTGTATTGAAGATTTCGTATGTGATTTGCAAAAGAAAAAAAACAAGAATTAGGGATTCAAAATATGTGGAACAAAATGGAAGTATTACGGAAGTAAAACTTATCAGAGAGATTTATTACGGAAGTAAAACTTATTATGGGTTTATTTGTGAAATGACTAAGGCAAAAGAGAAAATTAGATTTGTAGTAAGAAAGTAGAGAGAGATAGGAATAGAAAGGAAGAAAGAGGATAGAATTTTAAATAGTTAATGAGATATAGTTCTTAGGGTCATTTAGCCTAATCTCCATTTTATCATCGACGCTGGTGAATTTTTTTTGTTGTTGTTTTTTATAAGATTAATTATTAACTTTAAACTAACAATATCAAGTCCATACCAACAGAGCATAATACTATTATTTTAATCCAATTAATCAACACACTATATTTCCATTTTGACCTTATACAGTAATAGACTGCAGTCCCTTATCGTTTCCCATTCACTTTCATTCGTTTTTGCTTTACAATTTGTTATGTTTTACAAATTGATCTAATTTGTTTTATTATTATAGAGACACAACAATAGAAAAACTAAATATGTAAAACAAATACAAAAGGAAACAAAAAAAAATGTATATAATCTTTACTCCGTGCAAGGCGCGGATCATCACTTATTATATATTATTAGACCATTTTTGGTCTTCACATCCGCAGAGCCGATCTTATCATGCTATATACATTTGATTCATGTTATTGGACCAAGTGTCATTAACTCAAATGGAAAAACACCCTAGAAAAAGCTGAAAGGTATACAGAATTGTTAGTTGTTAATTTGATTTTTGTTCTCTTAACAACCAGTTCTTAAGCATATTACCATATTTTTATTAGTTTTTTTTTCAAATTTGTGTAGAGTAGTGTGTATTTTGAAGTTACAAACAATTTTTGGATAACATAAACCCGAATTAGAACGAAATCCAAATTTAAAACGAGTTTAACCAGTTTTGCGATGTGTTATTGTACTGCAGAGAACCTCCCATTGGGATTTCTCATAGATGATTAACTTATAACAAGTTCATATGGGCATGTTCATATACAAAATTTCAAAGTCTAAATGATTTTGAGTCGATCTTAAGTTACTTTTGGAGGAAGAGACCCACTGCAATAGTCAATAAATAACAGACAAATGAGTGCTCCCTCCGACATTATTCCTCTTTTATTTTCTTCAATCCGCTTGTTCGTGTTCCTTATATTGGGAGAACCAATGAATTTGGTTAGGGAAACAAACCTGGAATTAGGCCATTAATTGTAATATTGAATTTTGAAGGTTACTGAAAAACTATATATAAAAATTAACATATTTTTTTCTGTGGTTAGAACAATTAGAAACACAAGAAAATAAGATTATAGAAAAAAATGAGAGAAGGTAGAATTCGTTTGGATTTGTCAATATATATATTACTAAAGAGTCTTTTTATTTAATTTTAGTATATTACAACTAACATAATCATATATAAATTTTAATAAAATAATTTAACAGGTAAATTATAAATATTAAATATGGGTTTTATAAGTTATATAACTACAACTACGACTATAAAATCGTGAATGCAGTCAATTTTATAATTAATAATAAATAATAAGTAATAATTTGATGTTTCAAAATGATATTAAAATTATAATAATTTATTATTTCATATAACTATTAATTAATAAAAAAGAATTTTGGATAATTTACATATGAAAAAACAAAGAAACAGTCACCAACTTATATGACCATGTAGTCATACCCAACTTACATGAATGTAGTCATACCCAACTTACATGAATGTAGTCATACCCAACGTATATGACAATGTAAAAACATACATGTACTTTCAAAAAAATCAAATAACATACATTTCTTTACATTTTCGACAAAATTTCCACTAGTCACCACATCAGCGGCAATATCTTCTAATTTTGGTGACGTAGATGCTATGTAAACTAATTTTGCTGAAAAAATGTCACACATATAATAAATATTTTAAAAGAAAATAAAAATTATTTTATAATTTTTTATTATTTAATAAAATTAACAAAAAATAATTAAATTTTAATCTTATATAAGAAATATATTTGTTATATCGTTTTGATCCTATCAAAATTTCATCTTTATAAGAGTTATATATTTATTGTAATGATTTAAATTCAATGGTAGTGATGCAGTCGTATCACTTTTGATTATGTTGTTTACGTTTAAAAACATAGATTAACATATCATAAATTATTAATCTCTTAAAACAAAAAGTTTCGTATGATTACACAACCTATAAAAAAAAAATCTATACAAATACATAAAAATTAATAGGATAAAAACATTATAATGGGTATATCTCTTATATACGATTAACATTTTATTGTCTGATTAAGTTTTTAATAAAATTTAAATCAATGTTTATATTTAAAAATTTTTTTTTTTATAAAATTACATTTTCTTTTATTTTATTTTAAAACATTTACTGTACACAAGGTATCTTCGTCATAAAAATTAGTTGGCGTAACATTCATATCAATAAATTAGATGATATGGAGTTCATGTAGCGACTAGTGTATGATTTCGTAAAAAATGTAAACAAAATATATGGTATTTGAATTTTTCGAAAATACATGTATGTTTTTGTTGGATTATATAAACTAAGTATGAATTGAACATATCATGTTGGATATGAATGATTGTTTTTCATGTTTTCCCATAAAATATAAAATATCCAAAATTCCTTTTTATTAATTAATTCTAAGAAATAATAAAATATATTATAAAAATTTAATATCACTTTTAACATCAAATTATTACTCGTTATTAATTGTAAGAATTATTTCATTCACGATTTTACCGTCGTAGTTATTATATAACTTGTGAGTTGCAACATATTCATGAAGATTTCAATATTATCTCTCAACCAGAATGTTTGTCTTAGCTTGGACTGTCATAAGATTTCCTACAAAGATCAAATATACTTTTAAATCTTTAATCAATGTCGGTAAGTGACACTGAAATTGAATACCAGAAACGAAAAGGTTCAAGAGAATATGTAGCACTATTAGAATCGGTCTTGTTCTTGGTCCAGCCTAAAACTTTGGTCTCTATAGACCCAACTTGTTTTGTCACGTCGCAATCTCATCCACCTCCGAGTTAAAGACAAAACTTGGAAACGTGGTCGTTATGTCCCTGCAATTGAAATTTCAGGCCTCAAACTTATCAAAGGGCACCAAAATCTAAGCAAGTGGATAGGTTATTACTTCTTAGTAAGGTAAACAAACCTCAGATATGGAAGTGTCATTATTTTAAGCAAAGATGGGTTCTTGATTACGAAGTCGCTCCATTCTGTCTTACCAATTTTTCCATCCCTATCCACATCTGCGTCCTCAAATGTCTGTTCAAGCAAAAGTAAAAGGACCCGAGTATTATAAAAAGAATTTTTGCTTTCGTAGAAGTAGAAGCTGTGAGTAAACAAGAAACCTGATCGAGTATCACTTCTATGGTATCATCAGCTAGTTTCATTTCAGATTCGCAGAGAAGGGCAATCAACATTTGCTTCACCTGCCAAATTCAAGAGCATTCATTCTTGAGATCAGTTGTGAAAACATCTATGAAAACAAGTTGAAACATCAATCGGATTCCAAGCAGAAATATCTTAGAGATGTATACCTCTTGGCGCTCAATGTAGCCCGTGCAGTCCATGTCGTAAAGCCTAAACGTGACTGAGATATAAATACAGACCAATGTGAGTTAAACTTCAAGGGAATAATACATAGATATTGTTGAGTGATCTCACAAAGTCTTTCATGGTCAACTTACAATCTGTTTTCTCCTCTAGAGAAGCATTAGGGTGAAATACATTGAGTGATCTCACAAAGTCTCCAAAATCAATAACACCTTTTCGTTTAACATCAAACAAATCAAATATCTGCAAACGAGGGCATTATCATTTACTAATTGCACAGAACCAATCTTTAATTCATAAATGTCTGACAAACTTAAAGACTTTTACCCTATTGGCAAACAAATTTTCCTTCTTTCTGTTCTTGAACAAAGCAAGTTGAAACTCTTCCTGCATTACAAGTTGGTCGAGAAATAAGCAACAATATCCAAAAGTGGGCCACCATAACTTGAACTTTCAAAACCAAAATTATAAAAAACTATAACTGAAGTCAACTGTGAATAAAAGGACTTGGTGAGCCATAAGGAGCCCACAGATCAGTATGGGACACAATTATCATCTAATAATAAAAATTGGTGAAAGTCAACAACGATGACATACATCGTGGAATATGGATAATAGAGCATTGAATATAATATCACTTAAAACATCAAGCTTTCACCGTGCAAAAGAATCAAAGGGTATGGGCTATCAGTATTCAGTAGTACCTTGTTAATCAAGCCATCGTCAACAACCGAGCTGCTTATGCTCTTGAATAACTCATACAATGCTTCAACTTCACTCACACTAACTGCCGTAAACAAGGCATCACAGAATGATTAGTCATAAAGATCAAGTCAATTTCAGTAAAAACAATTTTCTATGTCAATAAAGAAAGGTGAAGAGACACTTCTTGAAATTACTATGATCGATATTCGAATCAATAGTAGATGAAGTAAATGTCTTAAACATCAACAAGCATCTTCGAATTGGAAAAAAAAAAAAGAGAATTCACTGTAACGAAGTTGCAGATTCAAATAGACAAATGAATGGCCAACAAAGATACACTAAGCTAACAAGAATTCACAAAACCAGGACGCAATGATAAAAGAGCGGTCTTTAAGCTCATGCTTATGGACAGTTTGAGCAAGGTAGAATAACGTGTAGTGCAAGTAAAACTTACAAGCAGTCTCTGAAGCAAGCTTGACAGGGTTCTCATGTCCAGAGAAATCTCTAGCAGCAGCCGTGGAATGTAAACAGCCCATTTTTACAGATGACAAGTAAAAAACGGAGAATATTACTACGATTGATAGGTATTCGCTAATTCAAAGATCTCTGGGAATATGTAAAGCTTGGCTGCTGATACTATTCGCCATCATCATACGCATCTTTTAGAATCTACAAATGTATTCAAAACAACCCTAGAATCAAAAGACGATCGAACCAGATGATTGAAAAAAGTATAAAACCTAGATGCCGGAATCGAAATTCAAAGCTTCTCGAGATTCGGTTAACGAGAATCCGATTCGAAATCAAGCGAAAAGCTAAGTAGGTAATGTAGGCACGGTTCCGGAAACTGAACGGGGAAATCGAATTTACTACTTACCTCCGATGGAAAGGCTCGCCGGCGCGGTGAGAGAGAGGGGGAGAGATTTACGAGAACGAGAGAGAGAGGAGACGAAGATCTGTGAATCGAGGGCAGATGAAAGATCCGACGGCTGAGATTAAATATATTAACTGGGCTTTTATTCTCTGGAGAGGAGGCCGATTGGGAGATTTTATGAGTTTATAAGATTAGCGTCGTACGTGTGAACGTTTGAATGCGTGCGGAATACCAAACTTGATTTTTTTTTTTTTTTTTTTTTTTTGTGACAGACCAAACTTGAATTTTAAAATCATTTTTCAACCAAACAAAAGATTTTGCAAAAATTTTACAGTGTGGAAAGATGAACCACCATATTTGACATTTTTACCTTGGAAGTTATGCAAGTTTTCTTAAATTTTTGTTATGATGTTGACATTTTTTTATCACGTTAAAATTGTATAAACTTATAACCAACATATTGATTTCCTGTATACAGTAAAAAAATAATAGAATAAATTTGGTTATTTATATCACTCAAATACACTTATTTCTCCATTTTTATCTAAAATAATTTAAAAGTAAATGTGAATAACAAAAAAAACTTACATATTAGAAAGTGATTCTAGTAAAACCAAGACACATCATATAATGGTTATAAAATAAGTAAACAAATATTTTAAATTTCTGAAAATTGATGTTTTAACAATTGACCCAGTGGTAACCACCGAAAAACCGAGTGATCATGCATTAAAGTAATTTTAGAAAGTTATAAAAAGAGAATTGTGTTTTTATTTGAGTAGATACTCATTTATTACTGTCATTATGTATTTGATTTTTTTTTTATCATCTAATATTTTATTTTACTTTTTGAATGGAAAGTATTGATAACTAACGAGGATGGGATGCGGGGAAAAATGACAAATTTGATGCGCCAGCCGGGAAAAATTAGGTGTAAACTGGTATTCGAACTCGGTTTAAAGGGTGTGAGAAAAGGAAAGTTGAGCCAACTAAACTATTGTGTTTGGTTAGTTTTTATTTGATACTGTTTAGATATTTTTAAGAATATTTAACCAGTGATTATGTTCTACTGAATAAAGCAGTAAACTCATCATAGTTGTTGTAGCTTCAACTCATCGGATCAAAAGAATACCCCAAAATTAATAAATTATTTGTATAGATAATTATAATTTCAAATTGATTCTCTTGTTTTCATAATCTATATTGATGTCCATACCATATTAATCAAGATTCTTGTAATAAATATAGCAAGGGGAGTTGCCGTGTATATATTATATTCAAGATTCATGGGTCATATACCTTTTGGGATAAACGAAGAACTATAATACTTTCACAAGTTATTGGTCTAATCACGTAGCAATGCCATACAAAATTCATTAATATAAATTAGTTACGTAATATCGATCTAAAATAAGAAATGTGGCTTTCCATTATTATCTATATCCATAAGACATGATCAGATCATGCATGCTACTTGAATTTGAAACTGAGATCCTGTCTCTAGTTAAATTATTTTGTATTTGGTGTACAATATTCGTTAATGAATGATGAGTTTGTCAGTAATATCTTTTTCTTTTAGTTAAAATGTTAGGATTTTATATCATTTTTTTTCAGTTTTTGATTGAAGATTACACAGATACTTATATCAGGAATAAACTAAACTATACTAGGAGAGGAAAGAAGAAGTAACACCTAAATTCTAGGAGATCATGAAATAACAGATAAAATACAAGAGCAGTAGTAGCGGCTTGATCAAGAGGAACATTGCCAAATGGTGATTATACTTTTGATAATACATGAGATCACGCCTTGGTAATTCTGGCTTTCTTGCAGCGTTGCTCCAACTGATTGGCACCATCACTGGACAGCTTTACAACCTCGGTTGAGAAGAGAGAGCCTCACAAGTCCCAACAACCACCGGCAGAGCGAAACTCATAACTAGAAACTCAGAACCACCGTCAGTAATATCTTTAATTAATCTTCACTAGAAAGTGTATTAGAAAACAAAATACATGTAGCATTTTGATCCAATACACATGTCTCCATATCATTAAATTTTTTCTTATTATGAATATATTTTATTCGTTGGACTGAAAATATCAACTAAAGCTTACTAAACAGTAAAAAAAAAGATCATAATTTGAAAGTAATGAATCGTAGATAAAGAAAACCGTTTTGAGTGTGACAGACCAATAGAAAGTTTCAACCCGGTTTAGTTTTTGATGTTTTCTTTTATTGGACTTTCTTATATGGACCACTTAAAAGCCCATTATAGTTCAAACTTTAGAAACTATCCGTTAGAAAACGCGTGCTGCAAGAAGCATAAATAGGAAGCTTATCGACGGATCTGATTTAGTTCCTATCAACTCTTCGATGATCAGTAAGTTCCTATCCAAGTCTCCAAATGCAAGAGAAATAGTTTGTTGTTCATGAAATAAAAAGAATACATTTTGCAAAATATTGTTTTCAAAAAATAAGTAGCTCTCGTTATTTTATGTTTGATGAACACATTTGTTTAACATAAATAAGATTTAGTTTTAAGTTATCTATCATAAAATTTTAAAATTTCAAAATAAACAATAGTAAAAGGTAATATTAGTAGTGACCTAGATTATAAATAACATTCTTGTCACATAATTTCATAAGTTATAAACAAGTATATATTCATAAGATTTAAATAAAAATCAAATTTTAATTGTAAATAATCACTTTTGAACATTTAATTGAGATGATAGAAAAGAAGTGTTCAAAATATTAGTAGTAATCTAAGTTTTGAATTAATTAACTTAACAATTATGTTTTATCAATAAACCCTACAAAATATTATTCTTAGGAATATACGTAGATTACAAAAAAAAAAATTCATAAGCTCTGCTAGTTCTTTTAAATTTACTTCGTAAGCACAGATCTGGTGTTATTCATATAATGGGAAATGACAATAGATATAAGGTATTAAATAAACTTTTATTCAGATTTTTTAATTCTGTGGTTTAGCTACTCGAG